CGGGGGGACGCAGGGGTGGCACAGGGGGACCCGTGGGGACAGGGGGACGCACGGGTGGCACAGGGGACCCGTGGGGACAGGGCCCTCGCCAGCCTGGCCGGAGCCGGCCTCATTCCGGAGCAGCCCTCGCGAAGCGGGAAGGGGCCGGGTGCCCCGTTCTAGTCCCGGTGGTTTTTGCCTCCCCGCTCCGTGGAGGCCGGGGCCAGGGCCAGCCCCGCGGTGAGCCGCGGGCTGCAGCTTAGGACAGCGGCCCGGCTCCCGAGCCCGGAATTGCTGCCGGGCCTTTCCGTCGCCGCCATGGGGCTGATGCCCTCGTGCCGCTGGTGGACGTGGGCCTGGGGCCCGGTGAGGGCCGCCCTGCCCTCCTGGCCGCCGGGGCCGGGACGAGGCGGGCGCCAGGCAGCGGCTGCCGGGACGTTGGCACCAACCGCCGGAGCGAGAGGAGTCCAAAGGTTGCTCTGGCTGGGCCGGGTTTATCGCTGGGCTTGAAAGGGCTTCATTCACACTGCAGGGTCCCGAGGGCGCCGCGCGTCCGACCCGCCCTGCCAAGGAGCACCCGGCAGCAGCAGCCCCGGGCCGGGAGGGCGGAGGGGCCGGTGAAGCAGCGCGGCCCCCGGGACGGCCCCGTGCTCCGCAGCAGCCCCCCCTCGGCCCTGGCTTTTCCCCGTTGCCCGCTCTTTCCGGTAGCCGCAGGCTGCGGGAAGGCGCCGGTTGCGCCGAGGCAGGGCGCAGCGCAGAGCCTGCAGCAGCGCGGGGCTGCTCCTGCCGGCCCCCAGGGAGGGATCATCCCAGCGAGCAGCCCGGAGCGGGGTCCCGCCGAGCGCGGCGGGGGGCGGCCCCTCGCACGGCAGCTCGTGGCGAGGCCGCGGGGAGGGAGCGCTGCCCGCCGAGCCGCGGCGGGGAAGGGAAACTGCGGCGCTGCTGGCATCGCGGCGGACGCGGGCGGCCCCAAGGGCGCATGGAGGACGGCTTGGCCCGAAACCCACTGAGTTTGGGGTCCGGGAGCCGTTCCAGGCCTTTCTAGGCTAAAAGCAGCGACTTTCAGTTCCGGCATCTGGCGCGCGGCCCTTTTGAGGAAGGGGAAGCTCAAGACGCGACTTTGCGCCTCTTGGGGCGAGCCCCAAGGAGAGCTCGAGCCCTGGCGCGGCCGGCTTAGGCCGCAGCGAGCGGAGCCTTGCACCGGGGCACAAAGGGCCTTTTGTGCAGACCTCGGGAATTCGGCGCGTGGAATTGTGCGCTTCCAAACGGCTCCAGCCCTGGAGGCGGAGGGCTCTCCGGCCGGGTCGGGAGCAGGTTCCAGGCGTCTGTGCGTGGGAGTTTCTCCTTGGTTTCAATGTCTTTCATGCGAACGCGGTGCTGATGGGCACCGTGTTGTCTGCCCGCCCGCCCAGGGGCGCAGCAGGCTGGGGCTCCACCTTAAACGTGGGGCCCCCTTGGCGGTGGTTGAGGATCCTGTTCCCAGTAGAGCTGGGCCTGCGCCTTGCTTTGTAAAGGGCCGGTGCTCCGTGAGGGAGGCTCCGTGAGGGAGCAAACGTGTCTCTGTATGGAGCTTCCATCAGAGAGCAGCTTGGCACAAATGTGAAGCGGGCCGGGGGATGGATGTGGGAACAAAGGAGGGATAATGAACTGCAGATCAAACCGAATTAACTTCGAAAGGACTCTGACGAGAAACAGATCTTGGCTCGTGCCTCTGAGCCGCCAGGAGCTCATCCCGGCTCCAGGTTGGGAGAGGAGCCGCCCTGCTCCGGCGGCCGCTCCGAGGGCTGCAGCTGCTCCAGGATGCGCCGCTCCGGCGGCTCCTCCGCTCCCGGCTTCACTGCGGAGGGAGAAGGAAGGCAGAAGCCGGCTCCGGGCTCCGGTCCTCTCCCCGGATCAGGGGCGACGGCCCAGATGGCCTCCCAGAGCTCTTCCTAGGGGATTTAAGCAGAGTTTCCTCTTGGGAGAGCTGCTTTTAATCGCTGCCCGTCTGTGCTGCATTGCAGATCAGCACGTGCTCCCGGGACCAGATGAGCAGAGGGAGATTGCTCTGAAGATTAAGCCTGGAAGAGGTCCAGCAGCTGCGTGGCTCCCGCTGCCGTCGCTACGGATCTGGAAAAGAAAGGAGAAGAGAAGAAAAATGTCCCACGCTTTAAAGCAAGTGTTCAACAAAGACAAAACGTTCCGGCCCAAGCGCAAGTTTGAGCCGGGCACGCAGCGCTTCGAGCTGCACAAGAAGGCGCAGGCCTCGCTCAACGCGGGCCTCGACCTCAAGGTGGCCGTGCAGCTGCCGCCGGGCGAGGAGCAGAACGACTGGGTGGCCGTGCACGTCGTGGACTTCTTCAACCGCATCAACCTCATCTACGGCACCATCAGTGACTATTGCACGGAGCACTCCTGCCCCGTCATGTCCGGGGGCCCCAAGTACGAGTACCGGTGGCAGGACGAGCACAAGTATCGCAAGCCCACGGCGCTCTCCGCTCCGCAGTACATGAACCTCCTCATGGACTGGATTGAGGTGCAGATCAACAATGAGGACATCTTTCCCACCAACGTCGGTGAGTTGGGTTCCAGCAGCAGCCAGAGGGCCCCCGGCTCCCGCTCCTTGTCCGGGAGATGGGCCGAGTTTCTGGAGGCCGCTGGGGGTTTGTGCTTTAGCTTTGCTCTTATGGGATTGCCCGGCTTAACACACAGGGAAATGTCGCAACTCTTGCAGAGCACTTAGGGTTTAACTAATGCTGGTCCCCACCGAGCTGACCCATGTGAGCTTTAAACCCTAGTATGTGCCAGGACGGCTAGAGGGGGAGAGCGGCCCTGACCCGGGCCGGCTCCCACCTTTGTGCCTTAAAGTCCCTACGGAAGGGCCGGACACATGGAGACACCTGACCGTGCTGGCCCTTCCTTCCAGGGAGCTGCTTCTGCAGTGGAACCAGGTAGTTTTCTGGGTTATTTTTCACCATTTCTATGTGCAGGACTTGGCCGCCCAAGGACTTGTTGCTCTAAAATGTTCTCAGAGTCAGAGGATTCAAAAACATTCTCAAAAACAGTCTCAAGTGAGAGGAAAGGAGCTCTTGCCTTGGGCAACCTCTTCTCCTCTTTCCTCAAAATACACGATTTGCCAAAAATGATTCCAACTCTTGTCCCAGGGGAGCGGTTGTGGCTTTGGAGCCCTTTCTGACGGTCAGGCCTCCCCGTTTGCAGGCACCCCCTTCCCGAAGAACTTCCTCCCGGTGGTGAAGAAGATCCTCTCGCGGCTCTTCCGCGTCTTCGTGCACGTCTACATCCACCACTTCGACAGGATCACCCAGATGGGCTCGGAGGCCCACGTGAACACCTGCTACAAGCACTTCTACTACTTCGTGAAGGAATTCAATCTGATAGACACCAAGGAGCTGGAGCCGCTGGTGAGTACCCCCGGGGGGCCGTGCACCCAGAGCATGCGCCCAGAACGGGGCCCTGCACGGGCCCGTGGCCGCCTTGCCCGGGAATCGAGCCGGTCGTTCATGCTCCTGTGCCTTGTCCGTCCCTTTGGCAGAAAGAAATGACCTCCCGCATGTGCCACTGAGACCCGACCCTCCTGCGCTCCCCTCCTGGAGGACGCCGGGCCCTGCTCCCGCATCGGAGACACGCCTCAAGGCGAGGACAGAGACGTTGCGTTAAAAGAATCTATATATTTTTAACGAGTTTCGGCGTAAAACTGTGAGACTGCAGGAATATTTTTTTAAAGAGGCTCTAGATAAACTAGTTTTTTATAGTGATTTCTATAAAAGAAAGGAATATTTTTGGCCGCTGGGTGGAAGTGCTCGCCCTCTGCGGAGGGAAGCACTGCTGGGTGCCCTGTCCCCTCGCCGCGGTGGCGTTGCGTGAGCCGGGATTCCCGTAGCGCCGGGCTCCGGAGCTGATGGATTTTTGCCCCCCGAGGAGTCCAGAGCGGCCTCGCTCGTGCGTTGCCTCCCCCGTGACAGCTTGGAAGCTGCCTCTGCCTTTTGGGGCCGCGCCGAGCCGAGCTGCTCCCCGGTAGGTAGGAGGGTCTACCGAGGGCTCGGGGTGACCACACGGAGCCACCAACTGCTTCCTGTAACCACCGCGTGTCCTGGCGCCGCTGCGCGTGCGTGACCCTCCTTTCCTGTACCGGGACGCCCGCCCGTGCCGCGCTCGCTGTCGAAATGGCACCAATAAATTATGTGGTATTTAGCGAGCCCCGTGCTGCCGGGTGAGCGGGCGCCCGCCCTCGCCGCGCGCGACGGAACCGGAGCCGGGGCCCGTCCTGTTTGACGCTCCCCGCGTGTTACCGGGGCCAGGGAGGAGACTGGGAAGCAGTTGTGGGCTCTTGGCATGGGGCCAGGCCATCCAGCAGGAAATTCCTGCTTTGCTTTTTTTTTTTTTTTTTTTTTCCTTTCTTGTTCTTTTTCCAGCTGAAACAGAGCCCACCGCTCAAACTCCTCCCGAGGAAATCCGAGCTCGGCGCGATATCCCGAGGGAAAAGCAGAGCGAGTTTGCCAAGCAGCTCCAAGGGAGGACTGGGGAGCCCGTTGCGAGCTGGGCGTCCCGTCCCTCCGGCCGCTCCGCCGGCAGCCGCTCTCCGCACGGGCTGCCCGGCCATCCCGGCGTTCCCGTTTTCCCAGCGCCCACCCCCCGGCTCCCCGCGTCTCCGAGCCTCAGCCGACGTGCAGGGAAATCCCCAGGGTGTTTTTGCCAAACATTATTGCCCGCTGCAAGGGAAAACAGGGCGGTTTTGCCACCTTCATTCGCAAGCGCAGGGAAATTCCTGGGCTTTTTTGCAAGCCTTGTGCTGGGCACAGGAAAAATGCAGCATTTTTTCAAGCCTTGTTAAGATGCACAATAAATTCCTTTTTTTCCTTTTTTTTTTTTTTTTTTTTTTTTTTAACCAGCCTTCCCCAGGGCATAGGGGAAGAGCAGTTTTTTTGCAAGCTGCATCTCAGAGCACAGGGAAATCACCATTTTTTGGAAAGCCTCCTTGCCGGGTGCAGGGAAAATGCAGATTTTGGGGTTGTTTTTGCAAGGTTCACCTTAGGGTGCAAGGAAATTCCCATTTTCTGGAAACCTCACGTTGAAGCGCAGGGAAAACGCAGTTTTTTTTGCAAGCCTCGTGTGGAGGTGCAGGGAAATTCCTGCTTTATTTGCTAGCTATATTTTTGCTGCAGGAAAAAAACCAAAAACGCAGTTTTTTGCAAGCCTTAGGCTGGTGCGCAGGGGCGGAACTGGCCGCTCCGCGAAGTGCCCGGGCAAAATGGCAGCAAAAACAGAGTTTTTGCCTTTGTTTTTGTTTAGAAATGGCGAATTTGGGGGTGCTCCCAATACCCGCCCCCGCCCGGGGAGAGCGGGTGCTGGGGGTGGGCTGTTCTGCGCCTGCGCAGAGGCCCCCCCCGTTCCCGCAGTGACGTAATGCGGCCTGTGCGGCGAGCGCCCCGCGGCTCGGCCCGGCGGTGACGTCACGCCCAGGCACGGGGGGCGGGGCCTGCGTGCCCGCCCCGCCTCCCCGTAGGGCTGAGCACGACCCAGCTCGTGACAGGGGAGGGGCCGGCGCCAGGATCCGCCCCCCCCGCCCCTTTCTGCG